ATATGACATTTTTTATGTCCTGAGAGTCAACAATTTAAGTTTGACCACGATTTGCAAGTGGAATTTTCAATTTTTTAAAATGAAATTTATATATTTATAAACTACGTAAAAAAAAAATCTACGAGTTACAATAATTTATAATTCGAAATGATTAAAAGATCTATAAAAAGTTTCCAGTCAAAGATAGATTTATTTGATTCTTGAAATTCAAAAGATGACATATAAAATGACGCGATGGGAGTACTATATTTTCTTTCTTAAACACTATATTGTCCAGTTTAATATGATCGGCATAGATAAAGTTATCACTTTAAGTATAATTAATGATAGAAGTGTATCATACAAGATATATTTCGCTGTTTTCTTGCAAGTCATTGTGTATTGACTTTTTTTTCCTTGTTAGACTTTTCTCCTTCATTTTTTAGGAGTGTTATTTTTTAAACTTTCATTATATTCCAATTGCAATGCAAGCAAATCAACATTTGAACAAAACATTACTGCAACACCACTTAAAGAGAGGAATATTTTTTAAAAAAAAGACCAGATCCCAGGTAGAATCACTACAATACAAATAATTATTAGCGGCATTTAATTTTTAATTGTTGTTAAATATGTATTTTTAGCGGTCATTGTCACTTGTCCCTAAAATCTTTAGCGGCATTGGTTCTAATGACACTTAGCTAATGCCTGTAAAGACTTTAGCCTATTTATTAATGTCAATATTTAATATTGCTAAAAGTTATTTTTGGTTGCATTGAGTTGGTACAACTAAGACAGGACATGTGTAACAAAAACATAAAACAATACTACTAATACTCGTATCTGTTACTTCACTTATTAATAAACTTAAACTCAATATATTCTCATTCAACAATCTTTCAAGTTTAAAGTGGATAGAGGATTAACCCTCGACTTCGTCCATGAACTCGTCAAAGATGAGTTTATATTTGTTTTGATCAATGATAAAGACACCTTAGTATTTTTTCATTAATTTATGATGATTATATTATCATCATTAGCACAATGTTTCTATTTAATCACATTATGATTAGCATATGAAATGAACTAATTACATATATCTATTGGATTAATATATACATATATTTTCCGATGGAAAGGGAAGTTGAAGGTGAATCATCTAGAGTAGCAATGCCACCTCCCAACACAGGGAAGCTGATAACCATTCTCACTATCGATGGAGGAGGAATTAGAGGAATTATTCCTGGAGTTATTCTTGCATATCTTGAATCACAACTTCAGGTAAATTAATAATTAATAAGAAGAGAGTACAAATTAATTGTTGGCTATATCATGTACGTATATTAATTTTAATTTTGTTTGAAGGAATTGGATGGTGAAGATGCAAGAATCGCGGATTATTTTGACTTGATAGCAGGAACAAGCACGGGTGGTCTTGTAACAGCCATGTTAGCTGCACCAAATAAAGATAAACGCCCTCTTTATGCTGCCAAAGACATTACTCCTTTTTATATTGAGCACTCCCCAAAAATATTCCCCCAGATCAGGTTAAGCCATGCTACATAGCTATAATATACGTATCGTTCCTTATATTCTTAATCCTGATAGTATCAACAAATACATTCTACTTTCCACTAGTATTAAATATCAGACATGATTATTCATTAAGCATATGGAAAAAAGTCAACTATGTATTAGATAATTTTTTGTTTAAACAATATGCTCTTATGATTTTCATTTATTTCACTGACCATTAAGCCACACCCTTAAGTGCATTGATTTTTGTACGATAATTTGGTGTTATATTTATGGGTAATACTTCCCCTTCATCTATTTTATTAGAGACCTGCCAAGTTAACCATGCGTTCATGTCAATCAAGACGAGTCTTAGGCATATTGGTTTTGTGAGTTGCTGCTAAAAGGCCATTTTTGTTAGCTCCGTGTAAGTTGTCACTAATTACATGAGTTGCTGCTAAAAGCATTTTTGTTAGCTCCGTGTAAGTTGTCACTAATTACATTTGACTTTTGTGACAACTCCTTCACCAGTAAATCCTTCACTTTAGTGGCGACTTGGCAAAATTTTGTGTTGTAAATATTTTTGTAGCGTACAATTTGACTTGACTTATTGTGGTGATGTGTGTCGCCTCAAATGAGCATTCATTGTGGCGATCAACTTTTAGTTATGGAAATATATATTAACACGACCCAATTGTCACTGCTATACACTTTTAGCGGTGGGTTTTTGGGTATTTCATCTACTTCGATCGCCCTAATAAGTCATATTTCTTGAAGTAGACCGTAAATTTAACAGTTTTTTTTTTTTGGTCTTGCTCACTTTTATGACTTTTACCCATTTCATTGACGGTTACTTTTCAAAGAGCTTATATCTATCTTTTGATTTTTGTGGGATTAGTTGTTGCAGTGGACTATTTGCTGGAGCCATAAATCTAGCAAAAATGATTAACGGACCTAAATATGACGGGAAATATCTTCATGAACTTATAAAGAGACTTCTAGGTGGCACGAGGTTGCATGATACCTTAACTGCTGTTGTAATTCCAACTTTTGACATCAAAACACTTCAGCCAGTTATCTTCAGCTCATATGAGGTGTGCCTAATTCTATTGTATAACAGGTTGTAGAAATTAGAAAAAGGCGGTTGAAACAATTTAAACTATTTTTTAGGCAAATTCGAAACCTGAATTAAATGCGGAACTGGCGGACATTTGCATTAGTACCTCGGCAGCGCCAACATTTCTACCTGCCTATTGTTTCAACACCAAGGATGCTCAAAATGAAGATCGTGAATTCAACCTAATTGATGGTGGCGTGGCTGCTAATAACCCGGTAATTTATACAACACAAAATTGTTTGAAAATGATCAGCACTAGCTTATTCATCACACTTTTGTATATGTGATGTGATAAATATTCTAGACATTGGTGGCCATTGGTGAGGTGACGAAGCAAACATTGATGAAGCACGAAGACTTATTTCCTATCAAGCCTATGGATTATGGTCGTTTTCTAGTGATCTCATTGGGGACAGGCAATGCAAAGAACGAGGGAAAATACAATGCTAAAATGGCTTCGAAATGGGGATTACTTAGCTGGCTAACTCATGACAACTCCACACCAATCGTTGAAGCTTTTAATCAAGCAAGCGCTGATATGGTTGATTATCACAACTTTGTGGTTTTCAAAGCTCTTCATTCAGATGATAAATACCTCCGAATTCAGGTGTACCTCGACCTTCAATGATATCTGTAACTTTAGTATTTTTATCAATAATATTAATCGTACATTTATTTATTTGATACGACCAGGATGATACTTTGACGGGGAACTTGGCCTCAGTTGACATATCGACAAAGGAAAACTTACAAGGTCTCATCAAGGTGGGAGAAGAGTTACTGGACAAACCAACTTCAAAGATTAATTTAGACAAAGGAGTTTATGAAGCTGTTGAAAACGGAGGAACCAACAAGGAAGCTCTACGAAGGTACATGATAATTGTCTATCGAATTTTTTAAACGTGAAACATTCATTATATATATATATTAACCAGTAGTAGTTTTATCGTCTAAAAATGTTACAGGTTTGCAAAGAAACTTTCGGACGAGAGAAAATTCCGGCAGGCTAACGCCGGCCAGTAGCCGGTTGGTGTAAATGATAGTCATCCACTTTGTTGCTACAGCGTGAAATGTATTAATGTTCCTGCTTAATTAATTTCCCCTTATTTTTATGCATTTATAATATAATGTTGGTGGGTTTAAAGCTGCGCATGCATACCTTTTGTAACATTTTCCTACTTTTATAATTTATTTGGTCTTGTTTAATTTATAGTATATAGTTCATCAATTAGTTCTATATGACACATTTTAAAAAAAAACAGTGGATTTACACGTGGTACACAATAAACTTTTTGTTATAGAAATAAAGAGACGAGAGAGAAGTCAGACAACATGAACAAAAAATTTAAAAATGTTTTTTTTTCTTTTTAATATAAGCATTCAAGTAAAAACCTTAAGACAATGTAGGAACGAGTAAGTCCACCAAGATTCTAATCCGCTCTATCCCACATAATTTTCTTAAAAGTTCTTTTTACATCGTCTAAAACTATGTTACTATAACTTACCTCAAAACTTAATACCTTCATAATATTTTTCAAACTATCTTGAAGTTGTTATTAAGTATCAAATATTTTCTTGCTAATAAAAAATTATTCTAGAGACTTGTATTTCACGTTGAACTTTAAGAAAAATACCTCTCAAGTCTGGATAACTTCGACTTAAATAAATAGAATATTTCATATTATTGAGATCTTTTTATCAATATCTTAAAATATGAGATATTAATTCAACATATATTTTTAAAGGAAAATGCATCCTTTTTATAAGGGTAAACTAGAACTTAACATAAAGTAATTGTCTTCAAAAACTCTAACGAATCTTAAAGGTCAAAGAACATGAATTAAGTTTATTTTATAAACATTACCTTGGATCAAGTTTTTTCTTTTTAATGCCTCACATGGTTCTATGCTTCAATGAAGGTAAGCGCGGTAAACGTGTGAAATCGTGCGTTTGTTAACAGAAACCAACACATGTCCAACAATTAATCTTCCAGGACTTTACAATTAAATAAATTGGAATTATTAGATGCTGGTACAATTACTTGAACACGACGCTGAAGAAACTAGAGAAAAGAATATTATTACGAGTTCTTTAACTATTACTCCATCTTATCTGCTCTTAGTTTTGTTTTAATTGTTATTTAGATAGAGAAAATATTTTTCAAATACCTTCTAAATATTGTGACTTGCTAACTATTTTAACTTATAATACATTTTATGTATTTCTATGTACGTAATTCTATTTCAAAAAGGTTAAATATCTCTATCAATATTCACACCAAACTTCTTACTTTGAATCAAGCCAAACAAATTGAACCAAAAGTGAGAGTATACTTCATTTATTAATTAAAACTCAAAACTAAGATATAATTCAATCATCTAATTTGATTGGATGGTGGAACTCACATCCAAGACGATTCAGTTGAAATTTGTCCATGAACTCTTCAAAGATTAGTTTTTTTTTTTTTATGACAAGCTCTTCAAAGATTAGTTTATATATCCTAGTTGTAATAATCATCGACAAAAACACGTTACTTTTAACATTTATCTCTTCTTTATTTTTAAATAATAATCATCATTATTTAAGACAATCTCTCTATTTATTAGACTCGTCATTAGCATGTGAGATGAACTAATTGTTAAGTCTCTATACATAGGAGTGTTATTTTTACGTGAACTTATCTTTTGGATATTCCGATGGAAAACTCAGCTGCAGTTGGAGTAGCAATGCCGCCTCCTAACAAAGGGAAGCTAATAACCATTCTCTCCATCGATGGAGGAGGAATTAGAGGAATCATTCCCGGGGTTATCCTTGCATATCTTGAATCACAACTTCAGGTCATTTTTACTTATTTGCCTATGTATACCTACATTAGTTTTAGTCTACAAGTTGAATTCACGATCAACTTTAAATCATAGATCTGTCACTCAACTGAATATATCGGTTTTGTTTGAAGGAATTGGATGGTGAAGATGCAAGAATCGCGGATTATTTTGACTTGATAGCAGGAACAAGCACGGGCGGCCTTGTAACAGCCATGTTAGCTGCACCAAACAAAGCTAAACGCCCTCTTTATGCTGCCAAAGATATTACTCCTTTCTATCTTGAGCACTCCCCCAAAATCTTTCATCAGATTGGGTAAACCATGCTACTCTTTAAGTTTTTCTTTATATATATATAGTTCTTGATTTTTCTTTTTGGTTATTAGACCACACCCTTAAAATACACATGTCTTGATTTTGGATTTTTGCAGTGGACCATTTGGTGGGGCAATAAATCTAACAAAAATGTTGAACAGACCAAAATATGATGGGAAGTATCTTCACACACTTATAAAGGGACTCCTAGGAGGTACCAGGTTGCATGATACCTTAACTGCCGTCGTAATCCCAACTTTTGACATCAAGGAACTTCAGCCTGTCATCTTCAGCTCATATGAGGTATCTTCTATACCCCTTAATAGTACTGTAAATCATTAAAAAAAAAAGAAATGGTAAAGTGAAACTAACCATTTCCTGTAGACAAAATCAAAACCTGTTTTGGATGCGGAACTGGCGGACATTTGCATTAGTACCTCGGCAGCGCCAACATTTCTACCTGCCCATAATTTCAAGACCAAGGATGCTCAAAATAATGAAAATGAATTCAACCTAATTGATGGTGGTGTGGCTGCTAATAACCCGGTAAATAAATGTATAAATTCTTGAATGATCAATACATTACAGTAGAAAATCCGGTAATATATGTATTGATGAATATTTTAGACATTGATCGCAATTGGTGAGGTGACAAAGCAAGTACTGATGAAGCATGAAGACTTATTTCCTATCAAGCCCTTGGATTATGGTCGTTTTCTAGTGATCTCACTGGGGACAGGCAATGCAAAGAACGAGGGAAAATACAATGCTAAAATGGCTTCGAAATGGGGATTACTTAGCTGGCTAACTCATGACAACTCCACACCAATCATTGAAGCATTTAATCAAGCAAGCGCTGATATGGTTGATTTTCACAACTTTGTGGTTTTTAAAGCTCTTCAATCGGATGATCAATACCTCCGAATCCAGGTATATATCTGTCACACTGAATAGACATGTTATAACAATTTATTTGCCTTATTTTTTCAGAAATATTAATTAATCTCGTCTGCTGTTTGATACTACCAGGATGACACTTTGACAGGGAACTTGGCCTCAGTTGATATAGCGACAAAGGAAAACTTACAAGGCCTCGTTAAGGTAGGAGAGAAGTTGCTGGACAAACCAACTTCCAAGATAAACTTAGACAAAGGAGTTTATGAAGCAGTTGAGAACGGAGGAACCAACAAGGAAGCTCTTCGAAGGTACATACACTTGTCTCTCACATTTGTAGACGTTCAACATTCATTATATATAAACAACTGAGGAAATAGTACTACCATTGCCTCATTTTGAAATGTTGCAGGTTCGCAAAGATACTTTCAGATGAGAGAAAGTTCCGCCAGTCCAATGCCGGCCAGTAGCCGGTTGGTCTAAATGGAATTGTATTGTCATCCATTTCTGTGTATTATTTGTTTCAGTTAAATAATTTTCTACTTAGCTATTTCTTTTTATGATTTCATAGTACTTTCACATATATATATATAAAGTCGATCCACTTGGGAGACTCCAAAAACAAAGTTAACAAATATAGACACAAACTGCAAAAAGCACTGCATCTGTAAACACGTTATAAACTGAAGTAATCTCTAAAAATTGTAATAGAAATTAGATTCTTAAGTGAGTAATTTCACATAATTAAGTACCTGGGTAATTCACTCCATACAAAACAAAGTATAAAGTAAAATCAAATATAAAGTTGCAAACATAAAAATGATAAGGTAGCTGTTTGTGGTGTACCCCTATATTTGAAAAATACAAAAAGAGAACTTTTAACTGAAATCTAGTTGCTGCTGCTTCAGAAATTCGGGTCTGAAGTTGGGCTCGGGCGAATGGGCCTAGAACGTCGTCATATGCTTTGGCATGTCACCGCCCAGAAGAGAAATTATGAGCTGGGGCATCAGCTATTTAACATACAAAATTGAGATACTATCACCCAATCATCCTATTTTAACTAACACAGATGAACAAGGTCATGCAGTAAATAACATCAGCAGACAATGTCCCAAGTTGTGGAATCAATCCTCCCTTGCATAATAAGCTTTCTAAGATTTTCAGACAAGTGCTTCAGTAAAAATCATTTCGATTTTTTTTATCAGAAATCCTTGCTCCTGCAATCTTGACAACAGGGTGATCCTTTGGTTGGATAAGCTTCAAAGCTAGATGAACCCTCAGATCACCCATTAACTACTTTTGGTTAACATCCACAATTCACTTAAGTCTACATCAATGTAGGGAGGGATGACATCCGCTGGGCATAGAAACTTTACCGTTCTCTTGATGATATTCAAATATAACCCTACCAAATTGGTTAACCGATAATTATTAGAAATATAACAACATACCCGCTTGAAGTCCAACTAAGTGAGGTCTAGGGAGGGCCGATGATTATTAAAAAAATTTTAAAAAATAAATAAAGAAAAACAAAAGCGCAAGCAAATAGGAAATGGATATCATCTCACATGTTATCCGTGTTTCCTTTCATCATTTTATCCTTCAGCAAGGATTCTTTCTTCTGAAATTGACCATCAATTCTAAGAGAAGCATTAATTATGAAGCTCACTAAGTCATAAGATACAGATTTCATATATTAGCTGAAAGAATAGACAACGTACCCCACAAACAGATCGTGGGCTCATGTTTTTAAGCATTATTAAAAGAGGAATTTATTGAATTGGGCTAACCCTATTTGAAACTAAAGAGCAGCCCGGTGCACTAAGCTCTAGATATTGCATAGGTGCGGGATGGCCGGACCACAAGAGTCTATTGTAGGCAGTGTTACTGGCATCTATTTGAATAAAAAGGAAGCATAATAGTAATTAGGTTTACTCTTTACGCCCTATCCTCTACTTTTAGTTGCTCAAATCTTTGTATTTACCTTTTTTGATCAAATGGCAGAGGTAAGTTAGACTATCTGGGTTTTAGTCATACATCTGAGGTATAATGACCTCAGCAGCTGTTATAAACTATCCAATATGAACCTCTACTATGTAAGGTGGACAAATTTGACTGTTATCATTCTCAAAAAAAAAAAGGTGGACAAATTTGAAGTAACTGTAAACATTTTTTTTTAGAAATGCAGTGAGTTATGTTTATCATTAAACAAGTTTATGTCCGTATTTTTTTTTATTTTGAAAAAGGTAACTTTATGTCCCGTATTTATCATTATGATTGTCATTTTTTTTTTGGAGAAGGTAGTGTATTTTATAAATGATCAGCACTAAGAAGTGCTGTTAAAAATCTGCATCTGCAGCAAAAAGGGAACTTCACAAAAATCTAACCCTTCTAGACCTGTAGTGATTCTATCACATCTGGAATAAATTAGTTTAAGCCTCATTTATTTGTTGCATTTTTTACATCAAAAAAGAAGAAGAAGCTAATATTTGGATTTTCTCTTCTAAATGTTGTTTTCCATGTCTTGAAAACATCTTCTATTTCTCTCAATCCACACAGTTCACCAAACAGCAGCTGGTGCAGTGTTCCCTTTTGATTGCCTTATTGACTTACTAATAGGTAAGACTTGAGAACACTTTAACCCTAACTTTTCCTCTTTAGAATTCATTGTGTTTCTTCTCAACCATAAATCCGTAATGGAATTCAAAGTTGATGAACCCAAGGCGGAATGACTGGGATCTAACTATATTATTAGAAGATGGCTGCATCAGCTCTTTTACAGAGTGAGAGATGACTGAAGCGCTGGACATCAACGTCCTAGCCAGATAGCTTTACTACAGTTCTTCACCAATTTTTTTTGGCACATCTTTAGAAACGGGATGCTCTAAACTTATAGCAATTCTATCCTGAAGGAAGATTTTAGAAGAGCTTCACTGTGCTTAACGATAGGGAGAACTGAATTAAGAGACTTCAAGCCAATCCGATCGGTAGTTAGTAGTAAATGATTACAAAATCACTTGCTGAAAGACTAAAGAGGGTAATAGTTGCATTGATTTGAAGTAACATCAAATGAGTGCCTAGAGAACCTGGAGGTCTAAGAAAACTTGACATAGTGAGGTCTAAGATCTACTAACTGGAACCTCCTCCTGATTCCTGAACACTAAAATAGGATCTGATCGAAGATGGTTTAAACAGATAATACATTCAATCCAGAGGGTAAGACTGCCGGTGCTGATTAATGGGAGACCAGCGGGGTTGTCACAAGACTTGGACAAATAGCAAGAAATAACCAGGCATGTTTCACCTAATTTGGGATTTGAACCCTACCCTCCCATGGCTCCCAATTAAAACAGCTAGATTACACACTTGGGTGCTCTACATTGAGAAACTTCTAGGTCCATCATAACCATATAATATTAGCATTTAATGAATTCAAGAAAACCAGCCGTTACACCTTAGGATAAAGAACTGATGCAAGTGTAACATATGATAAGCTAAGTTTCAATACATCACTACGCAAACCTACATAGTAAGGAAATTGAAGACTTCATAAAAAAATAAAATAAACATGTATTAGCAAGTTACCAATAGGAAAAAGCAGATGTATCAATTACTCACCTTTCTTCAAACCGGAGCCTCTAAATATAAGAGGAACCCCAACCTTTAGTAAAGCACTTGATGGAGCTCTTTTAAAGGTAACATTACGAGGCGCATCTGAACCAGCTTCCAGATGAACCTGAACATTGAAATAGATAAATCAGTACATAGACAGCTCTGTTTCCTGAACTACAGCTCCTATGTATAAATGAATTGAAAGCCACTATCTATCTTCATACCAATTCAAAGTAACAAAATCTAATAAATAAAGGGAAAATACCTTTCTGAGCAGAACTCGAACTTTCTCAATAACGTCAGTAGAGGGTAAACCTCATGATCAAACAAACTGGATAAGAAATGGGAGTGACCGAGATGGTTAACAAGCTTCCTTATCTGATTAGCCTAAACAGAGATGAGTCTTGTGTTACCACCATGTTGGGCATCCTCTTGTTCAAACACTATGCTGGGTACCCGCCCAGCTTTCCTCTCTTTGGCGGCGAAGTCCTTTCCCGAAGTGACACGAACAACTGCATGAATAGTTTCTGCGTATTTTGGATCGGGTTTAGGGAAATCATCTAGGTCTGGAAGAACTGCGGTGGCGACGTGCCTGAAAAAACATAAATGGTAGAGGGATTTGGTTCAGCACAATGCGCCGGATCAACATTCTTGTATGTGATCTGATCAAGTCGGAGAGAGTATGCAAGGGGGGGTTTTGAGTTGAACACATGTTCGCTGCACAATTTACACAGGGTGAAATGGAAAAGGTAAATTTCCATGTTCATTTATTTTTATTGATTTACATGCAACTGTTTTTTTAAAAAAAGAATAAAACAAAAACATAAATAACTAGACGAGATAAAATTCAATTATTTGAAAAATGTTATTTTGTCGTCCACTTTGTTGCTACCGCCTGAATGTATGTTCGACCTTTTCCCAATCTTTATAATTTTAATATTGGTGGATCTTTAGTAGCATATCGTTCGTTCTGTATATCAGTCAATGAAGCAATATGGCAATACTTTGTTATAAATACATAAAGTGTCGTCATTTGTTTACTGGATCATTCAATTACCTATAATACACGTTCAACTCGATTTGCAGCTTCAAAGACTCCTAAAACAAAGGTAAGTCGACTAATGTAGACGCACTACAACAAACATTGCATCAGTAAACCCACGGTAAATAGTAATCAATAATATTCTGCAACTTGAAGAGCATAGAAGTTCAACTTCTTCATCGACTCGATGCTCCGCCAAATAAATATGGCTAAGGAACTGAAGGGTATTTACAGAACACTTCACATAATCAACCCTCTCATCAACTATACTTGACACCCAAAAAACTTCAGGCTATACATAAAGACATTCCCTTCCCACCTATTTTTTTTTTGTTTTCTTTTACGAGTTATTCCATCCCAATGAGCCTCACAAGTAAGAATTTATGGTATAATAAAATAATGTAACAAATAAACGAATATTACTGTTCAGCTATAATTTAGGGGCTATGCAAATATCTCTGCTGAATGACTGTCTCTGCATTCCCGTTGTACTGTGCAAGGAGGTGAATTGCATCTGCTCTGGGCAATGCTAGAAATTCCTGCACCACATATTCACAAATAAGTAGCTGCTGTACTAAAAAATGACCTGAAAAAGTGGCACATAATGAGAGCACCCAGAAAGTCAACACAATCTGCTGACAAGCAGCACACAGTGACCAGGGGAGATACACATCAATAGAATAGCATCAAGTAGAAGGGCTTCACAACAGGTTCATCGAGATGCAATAACAAGGATAAAGTTAGAAGCAAGCTTAAAAACCAGAAAGGAATAAAAAACTCACCATAACTTTTAGTATTGCAGTTTCATCACATCCAACATCTCTGGCCGATGACTGGGTTGGACTTCCATCTTCCTGTTTCCTATTATTTGAGGAACCAGTAACTTGAGATGATCCATCAGTGCTCATGTCAACATCCAATCTGGAAGCATCTATAATCAATTTGGCACCAACTTCCTTCAGGGCGTCGATCCTCAAGAGCCCCTCAAATCGATCTTTACACATTTGAAGTTTGAACCACTCACTGTGTGTATACAGCGTGGCCCTTATGATCTTCATAAGCTGGGGTTCTTCAATACCAAGCCTCCTACCAATAGCAACCTTTGCATGGACAAAATTGTGACAGTAAATTAGGTGAGTCAAGATACTAGAACACGAGATTTTCAATTTGGACTTTACATATATCAGCCCAATGTTTAAATCAGCTAAATTCGGCGTGTCAAAATGGTCTGAGGTGCGGGTTGCACAAGTCGTGCTTTTATGGGCTAATTTTGCCAATCCTAGTGATATGCTAGTGTTTGCCATTAATTATTTTAATTACTATGTAAGTCAGATTCTTATGGAAGTAACATTAACATGCTCCCAAGTTCCTAATTAGTAACTAAACCACAAGTTGCTAGATAAATCAAAGAGCATTCATATACAATACCCCACCCCACCCACCCCTCATCCCCCCCAAAAAACAGTCATCACCCTTGCCCCTCCTACAATGAAAAAAAATTGTACAATTCAGAGCAACATCAATATTTTGTTGATTTTTCCAAATATTAATTGGTTATGAAGAACAAGAACAACAATTCCACACCAATGAAGAAAATCAAGAGTACAAACAATTAAAGCAGAATATGGTTAAAAAACAATTAACTTTTTTTTTGTAACATCATAGTCCCACATCGGCTATAGCTGGGGTGTTTGGTTTCTTATATGATCTTTGGGAAATTCTCATGTCGCTCTTGGAGTTAAATTATGTCGAAGTTCATCTTCTTATCATGGTATCAAAGTCAGGTCCATCTCAACTCTTGGTTTACCCCACGTTGGGCTCCCATATTTTATTCTCCGCAGTCCAATCTTGGGCGTACGAGGGGGTGTTGGAGTCCCCACAGTCCAGATGTCCAATCATGAGCTAGCTTCTAGGGTTCATTTACATTCCTTATCAGCAAAAGGTTATATAAATGAAGCAAAATCTATACCTAGCCTCCTAGAATCCCTGTAAGATTGGAAAGGGTTTTTATTTTGGTTTTCGCTCACTTGTAATTACTACAACATGTCCTTAGTGCTAGCTTGATATATAATACATTACCTTCCTCTTAGACTTTTCTAAATTAATTTGGCAACTCTCTTTAAATTGAAGCAAATGCCCACCTAAAGAATCAATACTCAGGAAACTGAAGTGAAAAGCTGGGAACGAGAACAAATCAAGTTCTTCCTTGTTGTCCTATTGACATTCATAAAACAACAGTACACTGTTCTTTTCATGGTGTGTTTCTCACTGAACAAGGATAAACCAAAAATATTGCAAAAGATAGGAATTACCTATAGATTAATACATTTTTCCAACATTAAGTTCTCACTCTCTGTTTTTCCTTGTTATAGAGAAGAACCATCCAAGCAGCACTAAGCCTTTAACAAGCCTTTGAAACTGTGTGTACTGAAAACAGTAAAACTGTCTATTGAAAATTAGTAAAACAGCTCAAACCAGACTAGCACTCATTTAATTCCAGTATCTTTGTGTGAGTAAAGAAGATTTCACGTCCACTCGTTCAGAAATAGAGAATCTCATCATTCTTGTTTATGTTTTTTCCACAATCAGTGCCTTCTCTGCCTTCTCTGGGAATCTCTGGTGAGAGAATTTAGCATCCAATTCGAAGCTCGTTGCGCATAGAGCAGCTCAACATAAACCCTCAATGGCACTATGGGCGTTTATATCTCTTAACACATTCCTACACAAATAACCTGGTTCCAAGGTTCACAAAACACCTTGGCAGACCCGATCATTAAGGAGGGTAAGGACAAAGAGTGGGCCTTCTTTGCTCTAACATAGGAGAGCAGGAAGCATAAACTCAATAAGCTGAGAAGTGGAACCAGAGCAGAAGTTAGTGACTCAATTCTTTGAGTGAGCCAAAAAATCCAAAACAATAGAATACAGTGACTAGAGAGAACATGGTTCTGAGAAGGAATTTAACAATGTTTTCCTCGGATACCATATGAAGAATATAAGTATTCAAGTGAGAAACAGAAGGCAATGGGTAGAGTACCCCATTACTATTATAACCCCCTCTAGAAACCTTAATACACCTGATGTAGGACGTTCTATATTTCTATCATTAAAATGTTACTTAAACTTCTTTTCTTAGCCTTAACAGCAGACAAACAATGTCATCCAACCTAGGACAAGAGTACTTAAAGCACGGTGCATTCTGGAATCAAGAAACAACGCTCCAGTCTTATATATACACAGATACACAGACAAGGAGATAAAGGGGACATAAGTGTAGGAAAAGATTAGCCAGCAACAGTTCACCTGGGGCCTGTTTTTACCATAAAGATTGCAGAATGTCATACCTGGAGTGAATTGGCAAGAACACATAAGGGCAAGCGATCATTAAATGCCTCTTCATTAGGTTTGAGCAAAGCTAGCAAAGTCTCCTTCAATGGCTTCAACAGATCAGGATGACTAGAAGCCAAAGGGCCCAGAAAAGAACAGGCTACCCTCAGTGCCTGAGTATGATCCCCAGAGCCAACCAGCTTCAAAAATTCAACCTGCCCAGAGGATTATTTTTAAATGCCTTAATGATATAAACATGCTTCTACTGATCTTTGTCCCAAGCAGAAGTTTTAACTTCCATACCTGCTTAAGTTGAAAAAGCAGAGAAGGGTTCTGCACAAAAAAGTTTGAATCCATCTCATTGATCTCCTCAACAACCTCCTCTGTCATTCCTCTGCTAGCTAATTCCTTCAAGCCCAGCACAAGCTCATGCTTGTCCTCTCTATTCTTCATCATATTCAGGAAGCATGATTTTGGAGAAACCTGTAATTAAAGGTGTCGAAACAATGATTACTTTGAACACTACTCCCGCATCTTTTTTTCTTGTTATATGTTCTACTTTGAAAAACCAAAATACATGCCTGCTGATCTTTCAACATTGTTGTGTCGGCATTAAGATCTTCTCTGCTCCTTTCACTGGTAGGTCCAGACACAAATTCTGTGTTTTCATGTCTCCCCCTCCATCTTTTCCGCTTGTTTGTTTCACCAACTCTAAGACACTTATTTTTCTGCAGAACTTTTTCAAACTGAGGGGTCCCACTGGTACTGCAATCTCCATAACTTGTTTCACTAGGGTAGCGTTCTTCGGTATCAGTACTTTGAATGCTAGCCAAGTTGGTACTTTCAGGTGATCCCTCCATGATAACTTGAGAAGCAGACGTGTCACTGCCAGAAAGTTTAGTGTTTCCGTCCCCAACTTCTGTGGAACAGTTCTTTGATAATTGTCCAGACTCTGATTGATCGTCATTGATACTAAGTTGCATCCCTGGGTAATGGAAAAAATATAAAAAAGCCAGCCTTGAGATACATATTAGCAAACAGAATGTAAGAATGAAAAGTAAAGTTGCTCAGAAAGTTACCAGGAGAATCAACCACACTGAAGTTGACAAAACCCCTATAGACACAATACTCATGAACAAGCTCATCAAACATGGGGTCATCCAATCTTATCCGGCACAGCTCATTCTGCAACAGCAAAGTTACAGGCACAATCTCAACAAAAGTATTTGTGATCTTCTACTATTTGACCTCAAAGCTGTACAATTAACAAGCTAGATCTACCTCATCAGCAAATCACAGAAAATCTGGAATACTACAAGAAACAGAAAACAACTCAACAAGAATGCAAATGTGTGACGAAATCATCCTCAGTCCCGTCCTCGAATTTTTTTACTGCGAAAAGCCACTGGTAGCACAAGTAAAGAACTACGGAATGATTTTCCATTTAGTGAAAAGAAAATGAATTATTGTTGAAGCAAAAAAAAAAGTCATACAGCCTGATTTGTTGAACAGGTAACTTCAATTTTTTTGACAATGTAATAAAATTCATTCAAAAGGGGGTAAAAACCAGTGGCTTACGCAGGATTTTTCATAAGCGGTGTCGATATATAATAAGTAAATAATTGATATAATAATATTATATTAATAAAACTGTTTGAAGTGTACTATTAACTTCCTTAGTTTTATCTTAATAACTTATTATTGTGTCGAGTTTCGTTTCGAACAAGTGATTAAATCATTAAAATACAATACAAAGTATACTAGTTCAATTGCTCCATTTTTATTCTAATTTAATTAGTAATTGAAGGTTGGAGGTTCGAATCTCAACAATATTAATTTTCATGCAAAAAAATAACTAGAAAAGCAAAAATCAAACAAAAACATGCGCTTATTGAGGCTCGAACTCGGCCAACGAGGAGAATCGTTGCACTCAAGTCGCAGGCCAAACCAACAAGCCAAGGCAGCATATGAGTTTAACGAGTGTCATTTATATTAATTGTAGTAATATTTTTTTTTCAGATTTATATATATATATATATATATAATATTAAAAAATTTCGACGAAGTAGTGTCGGATAACACCACTAGACATAGGATGGATCCGCCCGTGGCAAAAACTCGATGAACTACACGAAGTACACCACAAAAATAGAAAACCTTACAAAAAGTTTTCTACTAATGACGACCAATCTTCTATACAAATAGAAACATTATGGGTGCATAAAACGAAATAAGGGGTAAGAGGCTAATCTGTCAAGTACAGGATCCTTCTCTACTCCATCAAAAGCAGATAACTTTAATAACAGCTTCATTTTGAGAAACAGAAAATACCAAAAACTAGGTGGCTATATAGAACACCATCAACAATGTTCCCAGCTTCACCAGTATATACTAGACATACATTTTGCATAAATCAATGCAACAGCTGGGTGATGCTGGACGAGGACATCACTAGATTTCAAATTATCATCAGAAAATTGTGGCAGAAATAGTGTGATATCCAAGCATCTATGAGAAACTATCCCAGTTTAAAGTAATGTTGCAGATAATTTAGATTTTAGCAAACAGCTACTATTAAATAGCAAATACTTCAGCATACATACCTGAAATGCTTGATATAAGTCACCCTTGGCGAATCTCAAGCTATCAATAGCCCCCTGCCTTGTAAGCTCTACCGCATGAGCAAGAGCTTGTATGTCCACCTAATTTCATAAAATATTGATGTGACACAATGCCTAGAACATTGCAAGAATTTCTAAAGCCTAGTCCCCCAGAAAAAGAAGATACAGCAGTTTAAACTTCAACAAATAATGCACGTTATATTAAGCACCAAAAATCTTACTTCAAAGTAATAAAAAAAATACAGGAATAATTACACCTCAAATCGAAACTAGTTGGCATCTGTAATAGGAATCTTCTAATACCAACCAGTCACCACTCTGATTGGACACATTTTACTCGACCCAATATTTTGTCTTTTAAGGCAAATTAGGTACCAGATTTTCTACATTCTCTAAGATCTCTGAAAAATATAATAAAACAACCAAAGAGAATTACCACATTTACAAACCACATTCCTCTTCAGGTTTAATAACCAAAACAATTACATCATAATAGTAATAGAGTAGCTAAGATTTATAACCTCATCAAATGGAGGTGCTTCATAGGAACTCTCAAGTGGTGTTGCAGGGGGGTCACGGTCCTCAAGAAGTAATCTCTGTGTAAGATCTGATATAGGCGATGGAACTCCCTGACGAAAGCAAAATAATTTGTGTGTGCTGCAAAATGATTGTGAAGTTAAATAAGAACAGTAAGAGGACTTGGATCTCTGATGAAAGAATCATAAAAAGCCTATTCATTGGGTTTTGAATGAGTATCTAAGCTTGTCATGGATCATCTGGAAGTTGTACCAACCTTATCAAGTACCTCAATGACATTGCAAAAAGAGGATCATACGCACATAAATGAGCCCTTAAAACAGATGACAGCAGTCCAGCAATGTCAATCCTCCTCCTTGGAGACCACTGGGATAGTGAAGTGCAAAGACGTTAGTCACTTCTACTAAAATGAGACATTCAGTATCTCCGTTAACCCAAAAAAATCTCAATAAACCCCTCTAACTGCTGCCAGATGAACATTTATGGAATTCTTACTCGGGGCCAATGAAATAACCTCTTACCTCACTCACCACAGGAGAATTCTTATCTTCTTCGTCATAAACCAAGGCAAGAAGAATATGCTTAAATTCCTCATATGCTTCCTTAAGATAAAAATTTAAACATTCATTAGAACCCAAGTGTAAGGAGAACCAAGTAAAGCGAAATGATTTTCATATACGGATCAAGTATACACATAGAAAATTGTTTTTACTAATGAGATTGAGAGAACTCAAATGTACTGTTTTGAAAGTATGGAATTGATGTAATGGGATCCAAAGTGGCGAGAACCTGAGGATAGCGTGCAAGTCACTATCATCTAGCATAACCAGTATGTATGGGAAACATGATTAATGACAGAGAACCTACGATGAGAAATTCCATCCTTGATCCACAAAGAAACACCAGGAATGATCTTGTCAAAACAAATATTATCTATGTGCTGCATAAACATAACTTACAATCTAGTTGAGAAACATATACAACGACAAGTATATATATAAGTTGAGTTGTGATTACAAAAAAATAATTTTAAAAAAATTGTGGGGTTGACAGATCCAAGAGGTATTCACTAGTGTCAATGTTGATAAGGAATTCAAATGAACATGCAGGGACCTACTGGATATGCATCCAACGCACAAGGTGCCAGTGACTCTCGGAGGCAATTAATGGCAGATTCTCGGTCCTCTGTAGTTCCTTTCCTCAAAAGCTCAATAAACCTCTGCATAAAAATCATGGAGACAAGTTTCAAGGATCATCAATTATTTTTCTAAGTGAAGCATGGCAAAAAAGTTTGACAAAGCCTCTTCAGATTTTTGGAATCCAAAATGTGTCACCCAGTGATCAATCTCTCACTCAACTCAATAGTTGTGGTTAAGAAAAAAAAAAAAGCAAAATGGTAGAGAAACACACCAAGTGACTCTTGTCTTAAAGCATAATTAAAGGGGGCACTTCAATGAAGAAATACATAGGGGGTTAAGGGAATATGTGTCTCTGCCTGTTACAAGAAAATGTAACAACAAATGAAAAGAACAACTATATCGACAAGAGTTAGAAGCCCTAGTTAATGAAATTTAATCAGTTCAAAAACCATTTTGATCTTAACTTTTCTAATATAGATTATGACTAATTTTATCAAATTAAAATTTATATCTAGTATTTTCTATTAAAATCATCCATAATATTGCTTTAACAATTAAAATATCTCATCTCTATGCCCTTTACAAGAGCGAACCGATGGGGGTTTGAAGAACAAAGCGCCCCAACTCAGGTTGTGGCTATATACGTATGCAAGTCAGATAGAAAAGACTTAAGAAACCAGTAACTCGAAAACGTCATCAGAAGTTGCGTCAATTAATTTTAAATCCTCGCTAAACAAATGGAATTGGTGAGTTAGAGAAACTATGATACTCGAAAGTTCAAAACAGAGAGAATTAATTCACTGTTGTTCCAAGATTTTAAGTCTGGAGACAAACAGCAAGTTACCTGCTTCTGTAAGCAAAAGAGAAGACGATGATCATCAAGAACAAAAGGCGCATGCACACGCAAGAGATCAATAGCGGCATCAATGTCACCAAACTCCACTAAACGTCTGATCTGCCGAATAAGCAACCTTGACTGATAAGAGGAAGAAGATGAAGATGAGGTTGACGAAGACGGCGATAGAGACGTCGACGGCGAAGTTGAAGGAGAACCTGAGTCTTCGATTAGGTTTTCCGATTTGACGAAATCGATAATCAGTGTGTCTAGTGCCTCCCAATTCACCGGTAAAGAATCCATGGATGAAAAGTTTGTTGTTCTAGAAAAGTGGTAAAGATTAAATGGAAAGGAAATTTATAAGTTTGACGATTTTATCTTGGGCTGTTGGGCCTGACGTTAAAAAACGACCAAAGCCCCGTTGAGATAAAGCCCAATAAATTATAACAGTTACATTACATATATGGAAACTACATACGCTATTATATATTTGAAAATATTTATCACATATTTTATAGCAACACGTTTTTTCCACTACACACATAAGTTATAATGCATTGCATTTTAAATACATATAGTTATTTATACAACGCATATAATAAAAATTTTGTTCATAAATAATATATTTATTTCTTCATTTTTGAAAACTTATTTTCTTAAAATAAAAATATTTCCTCTATACCAAACAACACCTAAAACACCAAAGTATTTAGATTGTGTTTTATATTTTACTCACCTCCACCCTCCCAACACCATTTTCTCCTTCTAAAAAAGAATTATATTATATACGTTTATGTTTTGTGATACACCTAAATACTGGTCAATTAGAATTACAAATTTTGGCTTATTATACAATTGTTCATGCATTTTTCTCTTCTATCTTTTTAGTGCGAAGTATCTTCTCCTATGAAAGCAGTTTTGTAAATATGTTATGAAAAAATACAATATTAATTATTAATTGAATTGATTTTCTAAATATTCTGGAAGTTATATCTACAAATACTCAAAGTTTCTATTATCATTAGTATGTGGATTATAGATGAATTAATTAATTAGATAGAAACCTGATAAGAGCTTGTTCATTTGTGACTTCATTCTCAACAGCTTCATTTATGCAGGTTTCAAGATTCATCCTTGAAATAGGCTTTTGCAAGATATTATTACCAATCTTCACCAGATTCTCCATGCACTTGCTTGTTGCTTAATCAGTCGATGATACATCTCCGCTTAAATAGTCATCCTGACAAAATTAAAAGAGTTCTACTTTAATTCACACTTTTAATGTCAGATTCATCTGAACTCAATACTTTTGATGCACAACATAAATTTATATATAATATTTACAAATTGGGTATTTGGAAAGGGAACAGGGGATTACTATAGTTAGCCTACCAACTCAGCTACTAGGACTACCTGTTCCCACAGATAGAACTACATACTTGCCATAAATCTAGAACATTTTCCGGCAATAAATTTGCTTTGGCTCCAGTTGGTCTCATCGCCAGCAATGCCTTCATAAATTAATAACGGGAGTACATTTTACAGTCACAGGAGTACTGAAGTATAATTACATTGTATATACTGAAGTCTTTTAACTTACAGGATTATTGGCTGCAATGCCTCCATCTATAAGGTCTATCATTTCCATGATAATCTTTTGTCTTGAACAAGTGAGCAGGTAAATAAACTGGAGCTGACGAAGTACCAACACAGATATCTGATAGTAAAGCATCAAAACCATGGCCTGCATTAGTTAAAATGGAGGAAAACGAATTTTCTTTTTGAAGAAAAAGATGTAGTGAAGTAAACTTTAAAACCTCATATGAAGAGAAAATTTGGGGCTCAAGTGTTTTGATATCATAAGTGGGAATAAGCAAATGAGTTATAGTTTCGTGCAATCTTCGGTTCCCCAAAATTCTACGGATTAAATTCCTTAGATACTTGCCGTCATATTTTGGACCCCACAACATTCTTATTAGCGCGGAGGCGATGGAACAGTTAATAACAACATAAAAAATAATACTCCATAATTTTACTTGTGCTGTGGAAAAATATTGGGACATTGCTTCTGATAAAATGGAACAATATCCTTAGCAGCATAAAGAGGACGGCCATGTTGTTAACATAGTGGCCATTAGGCCTCCGGTACTACTCCCTGCTATTATTATATCAAAGTAATCTGCAAGTCGAGCTTCTTGTCCATCCAACTCCTGCAAGAAAGTGTAACATTGTACATAGTTTGTGCAAATGCTCAATGCCTAAAAGATGAATTTGTCCTACTTGTAACTTTGATTCAAGAAAACTCAATATAGTTCCTGGAATGATTCCCCTAACTCCTCCTCCATCAATGCTCAACACTGTAATTCTTTCTCCATAACGCTCCATTGCTCTTGCAATTAAATTCCACTATTCGTAATGCTTGATTTAAATTTATTGTCTCTGCATACTGTGTATATATAGATGGCACCAAATAACGTATAGTACAAGTAATTTAATTATTGTTAGGACCAAATGCATGTCAATGAGAAGAAAATACTTCCCATTACGTTAAATGATTTCCAATTTTAATCAAGTAAATTAGAAGCTGTGTACGAAGTATTCAGGTTTTAATACAGTAAAATTTGCCAAATTGCAGAGGCGTGCAAGAAAAACTTGGGAATGGAACAGCTATTAATTGTGAAGTTTGTGGTAGATCTAAACTCTGGCATTCCACGCTATACATTATGAGTTTCATTGCCTAATTCAGGGGAGGGGTAAAAAAGAAAAACTTCGAAAAGATAACTATTTTAAGTTCAGAATTTGGTCAAATCACGCTAACACATGGAGACATCTCAAATAGGTATATTGGTTTGAGAATACAGGAAAAACATCCATCATTTAGGTTTTTGAGTAACTAAAGTTAAAATAGAACATGTCCATCACAACATGGAGTTGAAGAATGAGCGACTTTAAAAAGGAAATGGCAGTCGGGAAGGAGAGTAGCAACCTCGTATAATCCATCTGAACCAGTAACCGGTCTTTCTATCTTCCTTCTGGCTGTTCCCACAATATTCTAGATTCACAGCTTGTCTCAAACAAGAGAAAGAAACAAGCATAAAATCCTTTTTTATAGATATGCAATGTATGCTCCCTGTGATAACTGAATTCATAAATTATAATCAACAAACAATACGTGCCGCCACATACATCGGCCAAGGTTTCAGGATTACCCTGTCCCACGCAAATCATTTACCTGCAAGTCTGTAACTATTCAACACCCCAAGTCTCGTGTGCCATTGTCTACATAAGTAGGGGTTTCAAGTTTAAAAACGCTTGTACATGTCTTCTTTTCTTCTCTTGTCCCATTTTCTGAAAAGGATTAAAAGAATTCGAATGAGAAGTAATAATAACTTGAATTCTATGGGACTGATTTAAAGAATATTACAGCACCAAAACTAACAAGGTCGATATGAGAATTGTAGTTACCAATATTGAATTGTCAATGCTGTTGCAGGACCGTCGCTAGCACTGCGTTAGAATCTCAGCACCATCTGCAGTTATCAAAATGGTGTGCTCAAACTGTGCTGATAGGCTACCATCATCTGTAACAACTGTCCAATCATCACCCCATATTACTCCATCTATGCTGCCAATTGTCAGCATAGGCTCTGTACAGCATAGTAGAAAGTTGCATTCAACACAGTAAAATAGTGCACACGGCGGTGGAATAGTAATTTTATGCTCCAAAAACTGACCGATGCATAAATTATGACAAAGCAAGACGTGAAAACATAAACTAGTCATGTGATTTATAAACATTAAGCACTGTCACAGTATGCCTCTTCACCATCGTGGAAATTAATAAACTATTGTAAAATTACCAATAGTGAATGTCTGATTGAGTATCATCCGTCCGCGATCATTGTTCCCTGGGAAAGAAAACAAATACAACAAAATAAAAATTGATATAATGAGAATTACTGGGTTTAAAAAGACGAGAATGATAGTAAATGCATGTAAAAATGTGATTATGCATTCAAATAGATTATTTTTCAGAGACAGCACCTTAGAACTATGAGCTCAATTCTCATTTTGTACAAAATTTCTTTAGAATAGAATTTTCTCATTATTATGAATTACAAAACTGCCCAAGAGGATGGAGGTTTGCAGATGAATGAAACATTTTGTAAATTGATATTAGATCAAACCAACAGTGTGAAGTAACTTATTTTCATCAACTCAGATAACTGACAGTAATTCGAACTAGTTGTAAACACTCAACAGAGATTCAATATAAATGTTAGACACAGCTTAAATGTAAGTATTTGGGTGCAATACAAATAAATTTTGAAGTGGGCTCTACTTTTTAACCCCTGATACAATAGCAGTTTATTCTTACATCTCATACAAATATTAGTTTGAAGTGTTGTTGCAACATTTAGCAAGCTGGATATCCAGTCCATCGACATTGAATGGCACAAGTAGAAAACTGAACAAGAAGATAATGTTTTTCCCACGCAAACAGTAAAAAATAAGCTGCAAACAAGTTGAACCATATAGTCTCACTATTGCTCATATTTCTACACATAGAAAGAGCAGTAAGGAAGTTAGATATTAAAAATAAGGAAGTTACTGTAATGCAGAATGACTGGATCACTGTGGAAAGCACGTCCCACTCCATGGCCAACGAATTGTTGCACAACCCCATAGCGATGTTTATCTGCAAGATCACTACAAATAGAATGTTAACGTCAATCAAAACATGCTATGCTAAACAAGTAATATATTGATGTACATATAAATAGGTCATAACCGTATATTAATAATTTACAAAAAATATCAGACATGTATGTGTCATATTCCTCAAATCAATTTGCCAAACTATGCCAGCTGCAAAATTGATTTTTCATGACAAATTCACCTCCATCCCGAGACAAATCCTTCAAGCATTTAGCAGACTGAGATGCACAAGAACAAAAAAGAGAGAAGATTTAGGTAGATGTCCTACTGTATCGTCTTGCCAATTTTATTGAATTCCACTCCTGGTGCACATATTGATATTGCCTTGTCCAAGCACTCTTTAGTCACCTGAGGCATCAAATAAAGATCAATAGGCAGAATATCAAATGCAACTATACAACAAAATAAGGTGTCTCCCTCTAAAGCACAAAAGAGAGAGTTTCTTTTTTCGGTTGAAAAGTTAAAGCATACAGAACACTTGGTTGCACAAAAGGTAGGAATTCAAAAAAAAATGGCACTAACACCATCAAGAAGTCATACTTGCACCAAGTTTTTGGCTTCCTCATCAACAGTCCCTGCAAAGAACATCGCTGATGTGTCACCATGGTAACCCTGCATAATCAATCAAGCCAAGCAGAGAAACAGAGAGAATATTGAGTTTCATGAGTCATAGACTGCATTTATCAAACCATGTTCGACTAATTAAATTTCAGGTGAGACACAGAAGAGGAAGGGAAGACCTAGAAAATAGTGCATCAAGAAAAGCTCATCCTCCATACATTGACATGTCATCAATGTCCAACTGACATTTACTCTACATATCGTTTCATAAGAAAATTCCCAATATTCTCTACTTACCAAGTGATTACCTTACACCACCCATAAATGCCTACGTACATACATACATCTTGTACTACCCACCACCAAAATCCCAACTGACCACATTTCATAAATGCCCCATCTACTGACTATTCTCACCTTTGGTGACCTACAATGAGAAAATGTTCAGCAATCCTCGCTCCTCCCCCTACAATATAATGATTAAACGTCCATCACCATGACCACAAGAACCCCTTCTACCCACGTAGGAACGGTGGAAACAGTTGTGTTTGGAGACTCAAGTAGGAGATAGTAGTGAAGAGGAGTAAGGGCACTGGAGACGGGAAAGAAGATGTTCTGAAGGTGGCAATAGGGATCTGAATTATTGGGGGGTTGGAAAAAGTATTATCTATGACATAGTCTCATGGAGTAAATGCAATCACTTTTCTGTAATAGCATAAGAGGGAGCAAAAAACAAAGGTAACACAAATTAACTTCAAAAGATTACAAGTACCAATAGTTATAAACCTAGTGATATAAATCCCAATCAGCAGACAGGAAAACCAATACTAGAAGATTATATCAACGATGGCATTAGTGACGCATAAGGCCCTGGTTCTTAAGAATAAAGATAATGACATGTTGAAGAACCAAAATCTTACATCA